AACTGTTCCAAGCACTAAATGATATCACTGTTAAGCAGAGAATATGGCTTAGTGAAGGGTAATAAAAATCTGAGACAATAAGCTGTTCAAATGACAAAGAAATCAACTTAGTGAATTGTCACTTTGCAAGCCACACTTTTTCAGATCCCAAAGTTTGCTAAAATCCTAAATTCTAATGTTTTATATAGCAATTTTTTATACTTACTTATTTCATAGTGAAAACAAAGGCATAAGGTGATGTTTGTCAACCTCAATAACTATTAATCTGATTAGTTTACCTACTATTTCAATATTATGGTGCACAATTTAAAAAAATAAGTCAGAAGTGTATAGTACATATACAAGAATGTCAATCGAACAAGAGAGAGTAAGTTCTCACATCCTGTTATGAAGTAGTCTAGTATAATGCAAGCTTTAATTCTCTTTCAAAAATATTTGGGAACAGGTCATCAAAGCGCTTTAGATGGTCCCATTTACAGGCAGATCAAAAGTCTAATAACTTTTTATTTATTCAAAAACATGTATTGATTGTCTAGTCTCTGTTGGGTAAGAACTGAAGATCACATCTATTAAAAAAGACCTGGTTTCATCTCTCAGGGACAATTGCAGTCTACGTTGTTTAACAGAATATAAGAAAGAAGACATTAATTAGGATTGATGCATGACCAGGGATCTACAGGTACTGTAAGATAGAGAGTTAAGCAGAGGTAGAATGGATGGGTGATCAGGAAAGGCTCTTAGGAGATGACGTCTGAGCTGGTTACAGTATGAGAGAGGAAATGGCACATCATGTTACAGGGAGAAGGCACAGCAAGCGCAGAGGCACAGAGGAAAGAAAGCATGGCACATTCAGAAAGATGCAGCCATTAGTAGCCACTGTGGGAAGGCCATGCTAGGGGGTTGGTGAGAGAAGAAAAGAGTTGTGCCAGATAAAATTCCTTCCTCCAGGCACGCCAAAGGGAGGCGATGACTCCCTGATGCTCTAAAGCAGAAAAGGAGCAGAGCTCACTATTTCCACATTCCTAAAGCCGCTCCCAGCTTGCCTGTGCTGCCTCTATAGCCGCATTGAACTTGCTTAGAAGGCAGACATGTCAGATAGTTCTTAAATATAAAAACAAGGATCAGCCCGGGCCTCCCCTACACACAGCACGATTCACAGTGCCTTGAATGTGCGTCCTCGGGCTGGTCCTGCTCAAGCAGATGCCACGCTTCCTCATGCCCAAGCCCTCCTGGTGCCCCTTCATTTCAGACAAGAGGAGACAGATGGTCATGAAGCGAAGACAGTGTCTCGGTGCTGGACAGCGAGTGAGTCCCAGTTAGAACCGTTCTTCACAGCACCTTCTCTGCTTTCTGCCTGTAGGATTCGTGGGGTTAGAACAACTTATTGGTGCTTTGAGATCATTAACTGTAGAAGTCCTGCTGTGAGGCCAGGGATCACAAACCTCTCAGATCCAGACTATGAGAATGACTCTGGGCCGTAAGAATTACATATCATGTTTACAAAGTGTATACGTAACAGATGATATTATTCTGAATTAAATTAAACTATCCTCAATTAAAAAAAAAAAAGGAAATTGAAGCTTGGAGGCCAAATTCAGTTTAAAGCTGACTCTGACTTCTATACCCTTCCCACTTGCATGCACTGCTTCCCTTTCCAAGTGGTGAGGCACTTGCCCCTCAGAAGGAGGGGATTGAACGTGATGAACGCTCCATAAGTTTGTGAGTATATTAATTTTATTAAACACTGTCTGATATCTTATAAGCCTTTTCAAGCAATCAATAATATAGTAGCTTAAAGGTTTTAATTTCCTTGGAAATAAGAAAGACTTAGATGGCCACTAGATGAGAAATTTGGGAGGAGGGTGATGATTCCTCTTCTGAGTTTGCTGGAGGCTAAGGGAAGAGAATTCTCACATGTTTGTGGTGTCCGTGGCTGTTATTTGCTATGCGCTTATACCAAGTACTGACTCACATGCGTATATGGTAGTAGGGACATATTAGGGAAATATATTGATGACTTACTGTGTGAAAGTGGTGTGATAATGTCTGACAATGAGTCACTCCTTCTATCCACTCCCTTGTGTCTTCCCCAGCCAAACTAGTCCTGGGCTTGGTCATTTGATTTGCTGTAGCCAGCAGAAAAACATCTCATAGCTTCCCTGACTACACGGCATAGCACTTAGTCCAAAGACCAAGAGTAGCTCTTCTGCAGTAGTGGGCGAACATGAAAGTAACACTGTATCTTACTTTGAAGAAAATAACCTTTCAAGAACAAATGTATTTTCACAAATATATTAATTCCTTCACAAGTAAACTTACCTCTTAGTTACTTTCCCTAAATTAACTATTTAAATAAGCACCATGCTTTCTAGAGGGATTGAAAGTCATGCATTTAAGCCAACTTTATTCTCTTTACATACATGTCAAAGCCAGTTTGCATATATTATAAGCAAAAAGTCAAGTCAACAAAATAAAAGTGGCATTGAGGACTCCTGAAGAACTAGAGGATGCTGGTGTTGCTGAGAGAATGAAGTTTGGCATTTCCAAATAGAGTAACAGTATATGCTGATTTACAAGAGAAAATCCCAAAGGCTAATAGTTATTGAGAGCTTACTTATAATAGATACCGGGAGCTATTTCCCCATAGAAGCAACCATAGAAAAAGTGGCTAGTTTCCCAACCAGCCTAAAAAAGCCAATTAGTCATAACATATCAGATAAATAAACAATATTTACACATAAAAATTGACTCATATGTCCAGGCTAGAATGCTCATTACCCAAAATTTCTGAATTCTAAATGTGAAACGTTTGCACCAGTGAAACCCCCGTTGGATCTTGTATCCTTGAGCTGGTGAAGTGATAGACAAGACAGTTGAGATGAGGAAGTGGCGAAGAGCGTAAAAGAAGGAAAAACATGGGAGAGAAAGAAGGTGCTATTTAGAGTCAAGCTATGGAAATTTATTTTTGAACTTCCCCAAGAGACAAAATTTGATGATGAAAATAATCAAAATAAAGTTTGGAAAATAAAGTTTAGACAGAGATTGTCCATGAATAATTTGAAACCAGTGTGTAGATTTTCACAGATTTGCAACCATATATACTCACATATGCTTTTGTTCACTAAATTAAAAGCAGTAGAGGAATTGTAAGTTCTACTTTGCACATCCTAAATTATTAACAAGTAAACTTTCGTTTTCCACCATTGTTTCCCACTTGTCATTGGCTTGTATATTTGAATGGAGAATCAGATGGCACCAAAATTGTATGAAAGGTGAACATTACCTATAGGAAAGCAAGCTGAGTACACAATGTTGTCTGACAAAAAGGGTAACCCAGAGATAAGGTTTTTTAAAAATGTTTTAAAATAAAAATTGTATGTACTTAAGATGGAAAGTATTATGATTTTATATATATATGTGTGTATATATATATAGTAAAATGATTACTACAGTCAAGCAAATTAACACATCCATCAACTCATATAGCTATCTCTGTGTGTGTGTGTGTAATGAGAGCACCTGAAAGCTATTCTCTTAGCAAATTTCCAGTATTCAATACAATATTATTAACTGTAGTCATGATGCTATACATTAGATCTTTATACTTATTCATTTATATAGCTGCAACTTTGTAACCTTTGACCAATATCTCCCCATTTCACCACCTGGCTTATTTCATTTAGTATAATGTCCTCTGGTTTCACCAATGCTTTTGCAAATAGCAGATCTCCTTCTTTAAGACAGAGGTGTCTAAGAAACAGTTGGCACAAACAAAAGACAGTTGCTTTCCTATAATTAACTTTTCACAGAGCAGCCAGAAAAAAAAGTAAAGTGGTTCCATGATCTGAGGAAATCACGAACTACACTATTTTAAAAACTTAGAAAATGGTGTTACCTCACCTGTTCATAATCATTGCTATTGCTGTTGCTTTTTATGTTACGCACATGGTTGTTGTCTCCTCATTACTTATAGAGAAACTGATAAAAAAAAAAAAGGCCTGGACACTTGTCTGTGAGAACATCAAAAGGAGACAGAATTGGTCATTGCAATGTTGCAATCAGGGCACGTGGTAAGACCTATTTAAAAGGATGAAGATGTTCATGGTTAGCAAGAGGAGAATTTAAGTTAAATCAGTGGGACCAGTGGGAGTAGTAGGGATGAATAAGTCTGAACCCAACCTAGAACTCTAGGATAAAAAAAGTGATAGAAATATAATGAAAAAGTAGATTTCAAGAAGAATACATTGGTCAATGGTGCAAAAGAGGACTAATGATTTCATGCCAAGAAGATATTTTGAGGAACAAATCATCCAATGATGTGCCTAGTACATGGTCATTGTATAAGTTATTTTAATTTATAATGTGTAACTATCCATAAAGTATCTCAAAGTGGGGGTGATCCGTAGTGTCAAAGGCATAAAGTTCATGAAAAAGACAGAAGCATGCAGGGCGTTAACATTTAGAAGTTTAATGACGATACTAATAAAAGAGTTTCACAATCAAGATAGTAGTAGAGACTCAAATGGAGTGAATTGATGAGTGAATGTGCGGTTAAAATATACATATATACAGGGAGAGAATCCAAGATTTCATGAGCTAGACTTTGAAGTGAATGAACTAGACAAAAGCATTGGTTCATGGGTGAGTTTGCTTATTTTAATCAGGAGAAAAAAATAAAACACAAATATGTACACATGCTGAGAGAAAAGAGTCAATGGAAAGGGTGACATTAAGGATAAAGAAGAGTCATCCTTCTTTAACTCCTCAGTTTAGACCATCCCTCAAGAGGGCAGCTAGAAATGGATGGAAGCTGGACCGGCATCTCCAGCTGCTTTGGGGTTTATGAAAACAAGTGAAAGGGGAAATTGCCAAGGGAACAGAAAGTAAAATATGGCCCCTTAGGCAACTCTACAGGATTTCTACATGATTAAGGTAATGATCTTCCCGGGAAGAAAGATTCAGACTACTGGTGTACAAGTAAGAGTGTGCAGATCAGGAGACAATGAAAAACAGTCTGACTCCTTTTAAAAATGAGAAAATATTTGTGATTATTATAGCTACAAGTCATTTTTACTATGTTGTTTTTTAAGCACTTTCTTCCTGCTAAGTGTACACATGAAGCTTGTAAGTTTCCATACAGATACAACCCAAAAGGGACTTCTCTAAGACACATTATAATAAAACTGTCAAAAATCAAAGATAAAGAGAGAATTTCAAAAGCAGCAAGAAAAAAAGAAATTAATCTCACACAAAGGAGCCCCCACAAGGCTATCAGTGGATTTCTCAGCAGAAAGCTTGCGGATCAGGAGAGTGGGATGATATATTTAATGTGCTGGAAGAAGAAAACCCTGCCAATGAAGATTACTTTACCTTGGAAAGCAATCTTTCATAAATGAAGGAAAGATGAAGACTTTCCCAGACAAATAGAAGCAGAGGGAGTCCATCACCACTAGACCTGCTTTACAAAATGCTAAGGGGGCTTCTTCAAGCTGGAATGAAAGGCCACTGATTAGTAGCATGAAAACATATGAAAATATAAAACTCACTGGTAAAGACATGTATTTTGTCAAATTCAGAATACTCTGATGTTATAATAGTGTGTTAAATAATTCAAGTCTAGGATACAGGGTAAAAGGCGAAGTATTAAGATAACTAGAGCTACTATAATCTATTAATACACAATATAATAAGATGTAAATTGTGGCAAAAACCATAAAATGTAAGGGTTTGAAAAGGTAAGGTTTTTGTATGTGGTCAAAGTTAAGGTGTTATCAGCTTAAAGTAGATTTTTATAATTATAAAACGTTTTATGCAGCCCTCTGGGTTACCATAAAGCAAAACCTATAGTAGACACACAAAACAGGAAGAGATAGGAGTCAAAACATACTACTAGGGAAAATCATCAAATCTCAAAGAAAGGCGAAGAGAAAAAGACAGGGAAAAAAGAAAAGACAACTAGGAAACAGAGAACAAGATGGCCATAGTAAAATTTTACCTACCAATACTTACTTTCAATGTAAATGCATTACATTCTCCAGTCAAAAGACACAGAGTGAATGAATGGATTAAATAATGCAATGATATGCTGCCTACAAGAGACTCACTTTTGCTAAGAGAACTCACATAAGCTGCTAACTATTCCTACAATAGCAATGGCAATCCTATTACAATATATAAATGTATCAAATAAGTATGTTTGACATTTTAATTTATAAAAACTGAAATAAAAAGAAAGAAGGAAGGAAGAGAAGGGATGAAAATAATATTCCATGCAAATGGAACCAAAAGAAATCTGGGGGAGCCCTGCCTATATAAGATAAAATAGACTTTAAGACAAAGACTGTTGTTAGATAAGACAGGCCCCAGTTATTATTTTTACTAGTATCCTTATTTTAAAGATTGGAAACCTAAAACCTTTGAGACTGTCAAAGGTCACACAGCTAGTGACAGATGTAGGAACTGAGCTAAGGTCCTCTGACTCCTTGGCTTTGCCGGCTGCCCTGCTGCCAGTTAAGGACAGGTTAATGAGGTCCATTTCGCCAGGTACCTAGACTCCGCTTTCTGGGAGAGAAAAGAGCAAGTTAACAAGAAAACCTAAATGAGATCAACGGCTAGAGTAACGCAAGTTACGTAACAAATCCCTGCGACGATTGTTTTGAAAATGTTTAATATTTAAAAATTTAACTGTCCTAGAAAACCTGGTTTATGCTCCATTTCACCTGTACACAAGTGCTGTTTTCGTATGTATCTTTCTTTTCCTGTCTACTTTCACCTGTATCATTTCTCAGAAGGGGAACTGAAGATTAAATTAAGCCACCTATAAAGTGTGAGAATTATAGAGCTTAAAGGGTAAACACTGTAAAAGGTATCTGTTGCCTTCTTTTTATTGCCTGCCCTACATCCATTCCTCCTTTTGGAAGAAGCACCTAATTTTTTCTAAGGAGAACTACCCCTGTCCTGCTATGGACATACGGCACAAGTCTGGCCAGAGCAGTCTATATATTGATATAGATATAGATATAGATATAGATATATTTGATTATATTGCTTCAAAATGGATATTTGAACCTCAATTAAGCTAATCAGAATAAACTCCAGAACTTATGCAGGAGATCCTGGGGAAGAGAAAGGAAATCTTATTCTTCTGAGATTGCAAAATCATGGAGAGAGCTGCCAGTGCCTGAGGCTAACACACAAGGACAAGAGATGAAGGAAAAGAGACTGAATTCTGAGGATATTCCTTGAGCCATGCCTGAAACCAGCTAATTTATGCTTTTCTGATAAGGAGAGAACTGAGAAATTCTCTCTCATATTTGGCTGTTTTGACACTGAATTCTGCTTTTTGCAAATGAAAGACCCCTGATAAATAAGACAAATTGAATCCAGTGATTAACGGGGAAATAAAATCACTGTGTTCCATTTAATAATCCAATTATACCTGTAATCCTGGGGCCTCTATTAGAGAAAAGTTACGTACATGAGACAGGTACAGCCCATAGTTATGGTGCCTGTCTCATGCAAGTCACCCTGATCCCTTTCGATCTTCAGTTGTTCTTTAATATTTTTTCAGTTTTTCCCAGTTTGACGCTGCCTTTCTAACATTAGTTTCCCCCAGTTTGTATGGTGTGATTGGGACTGCTTTTTTTTTTTTTTTGATATTGGTGTTATTATTGTTTACTTTTTTGTTTTAGAACATTTTTCATCTTCTCTTATTACTTTCTTTTAAAATTTGTTGTTTATGCTTTGTAGATGTCCTCTGAACTCACATACATAGTTTAACCAGAGTTGTTGACTGGGAGTATTACAGCTCGAAAATCCTGAAGAGCACCAGAAGACCTCAGTTTTAGGGCTCCCGCGTTGCTGAAAGGCCAATTCTAGTCCGCCACCTCATTTGGGAGCATTTTTAAAATCATGGTGACATGCAGGGTCACAAAATCTGGGCTTCGCATATGGTATATTTTACATTTTTGACTAAACCTACTTACCACCTACTGTGTTTGCTCACTTGGCCCCCAAGCAAGTCCTTGGATTATTGGGGTTAATTGTTCTTGGGACCTTGGGCTGCAGGGGAGGGAGCAAATCAAGAAATCTGTTGACAGCAATTTAACTCTTTCAGATATATCCTCTATCTGTCTTTGCAGCCTTCATCAATCCGCCCTCCCTGCAACAAAATGCCTAATATAATTTCTTTAATTTAGTAGGCATTCAGTAAATGCACTCGAATTTTTTTAATTGAAGCAACACATATATTTTGGGGGGTTAAAAGAGATACCTGTTTATTTTGGGGAAAAACATGAATAAATAGTAAGAAACTCCTCTTGGTCAATGTTCATAACATTTAATATACTATAGTATCTTGTAGTTTTCAAAGCAGAATCTGTAATTTGTCTCCTTTTATACCTGCAAGAACTGTGTATAAAGCCAGTTGAGGGGACTCAAAAGAGGTTAAGTGATTTTTATAAAACCTTCAAACAAGTGAACATTGGAGTAAAGGGCCTGAAATACTGTCTTAAAATATTGGCTCAAATATTTTTTCTACCGTGTTCTGCTCCTTTTCCAAATTTCTTAACAGAATCCTTTTGCCTTCTTAGTTGGTTTTTTCCATCAATTATTTAAAATTTATACCCAAATCATTTTGGATTCCAAACTTAGAGGGCAAGAGAATTTTGGAAAATGAATCCTTCCGCATTTACTGCGTCTGCTTCACTTCCCATCATTCAAATGGGAATCTGTATCTGAGGGAAAACTCTCTTCTAGGTCGTAAGAACCGATATCAGGATAGTCACTTTCTCTTTGTTTTGTAACATTTGTATATAATGCTGGAAATTAAATCATCTCAGAAAAGTGCCAACTTCCATTTTAACCTCATGTTTGAATGTAAGCTATAGTGATAGATTTCAATGAATTTTCAACTATTCCTCTCTTTCCTTCTTGGCCTGAAGGGAAAAGGACCAACACAAAAGTGGTTTTGCATTTGGGAATTTACGTGTTTCCGAAATGAATTTGCTCTGGAATTAGTCATGCTTTTCATAAACTTTTTCAATTAAAAAAGATTGATTTGCTGCTAGATGAGTTTGGGTCCAGTAGACACTCTTGGGTGGAAGTAATGCCAATGGAGATTGTTTTGCTCCCTGCGGCTCCAGTCCCCACCTATGGATCCCTTATTTTGTTGATATCACTGATAAACTTGGAAGATATATACAATGAACTCATAAAAGCCCTTCATCTATTGTCTCAAATTGTTAACATTTTGCCTCATTTGGAAGGGTGTTGTTTTTCATGAGGTCCGCTACTGAGATATACAAGTACAGAGTTCTACATAGAGTGCAAAACAGTCTCATCAGCCCAAGAAAAGAGGCTGATGGTCTGTCTGCGTATGATGAGATTTTGACTCAAAAGAAAACTGAGCTCAGTGGAATCATCAACACTGTAACCTCAAACCCAATGTACTGAAAAGGACAGCTGTGCCAGCAAGGAGACGGGAATGGAGCAGAAGCATGCTTGTTGACTCAGCAGCCCCAGCTGTGCAAGGTGACATCTGATCCAAGCATCTGTCTATAGCTCATTAAACAGAGCCCACAGAAAACCAAGAACTGATGCAAATTATTTCAAAAAGGCAGCAGGTGTTGCTTCAAACTCGCAACAATCATCAGGAAGTTTCGTTTACATTCATATGCCAACATTGGCAAGATTTTTTTCCCCTAATTTTTGACAATGAAGCAGAGTAGCTCAAGCTGAAATTTCCCTGGGATTCAATATTCAGTATTGCCTGCAGATTGGTGAGAATTGCTGAAAGATTAAGGTGACAAAGAATATTGCATTTTAGTGGATCACAACATTAAGTTCTTTCTGGTATGTCATTCAAAAATCTAAAAGAATAAAGTCAATTTTTATGGTTTTGTTACATGTAAAAGTATGATGGTGATTAAGATCTGTGCTGTTATATAGATTCATATCCTCTCTCTTGGGGAGTTATGAATTCAATGTTTTAGTTAAAATATGTGATTGTGAACA